AGTAACAAGAAGCTAGTAGTAACAAGTGCCACGCTAGTAGTAACAAGTGCCTTACTAGTAGTAACAAGAAGCTAGTCATTCTATCGACGTGCGTCTGCACCGAGCGGATGCGACGGTGCCTGTCGTGTGGATCTGCGACCATTTGGAGGCCTTTCCGCGCGGAAAGCGGCCATCGCGCGGCCCAAACGGTCTCTCTGAGGCCGTGCTTTCACACCGGGGCTGGGGATGTGAAGTGCTGTCCTAAAAAGACCAGCCCATCTGCCTGAAAGCCTCCCAGCTTCCTCTGAAGAGAGCTGTGTCCCAGATTTCTTCAATCAATCTGTGGTTGTTCTATTGCAAAAAGGTTGACCCCTGAAAATGAACAGATTCCTCTATAAGGGGTGTAAACTTGCCATGGACACCGGTGAAGGAGCTGCCAGGACAGCCATATCAAGGCCTCATTATTTGAAGGGCTCAAAGCATTTGGAGCTTCATCATGTTTCACACAAATACAAATACAAGACGCTGTTTGAAAGCTCACCCCTGTGTTGTTGTCTTTTTTTCCGTAGGTGCATGAGCTACTCAACTGGTGAACACACCCCCCATGGATCACTGCAGAAATGGAAAAGTATCTCGACGGTTGGCGGACTGGATTCATATGGATTCTGGACCGTCCAAGATCCAATCCGGCACCCGAAAGCCTGGGATCGAATCATCAAGTCCAGCTCAGGAGTCCTTCAAGTCCAGCTCTCGCCAAAACCCAGATGATTGTAAAAGCTCCCTGCTTTGCACTTGCCAGAGAGGTGGAATTCTTGATCCAAACTCAATTCAAAACATGACCAAAACTAAGCCCATGGCCCGGGCCACATGACACCGGGCCATGTGACGGGTCGAATTCCTTTCGACTCATCGTGAGATTGCTCCCCAGTCGTCCCGAAACCCTAATCCAACCAGGACCCAAGCTACGCGCCGCTTGCGCAAGAGCTTCAGATCCGCACCCATGCTTGTGGCGTGAGTTCATGCCGCGGAACGCTGCCCACCTTAAAGCTGAACTTGTAGAAGTCATTCACACGGCTGCTGCCATCATACCTGCCACCAAGCCAGCGATCCGCTGGTTGGAGATGAGCCGTGTGACCAGACAGGCGGCTCCACCAGACGTCTAACAAGCCAGACAGGCTCGCTGCCAGACTGTCAAGTCTTCCAGGTGGGCCAAACAGTATACTCGGAGTAGACCGATTCTTCTGTGGTACCCCGTAGCTGGTACTACCTCCAAAAAACCTCCCCCAAAGACTTATCTGAAGGGAAGGAATCAAGTCGTATCTTTCTTTAAGAGAGAGTGTGGACTTGGGAGTGACTTGGGAGCCCCCGTGGCACCAGGGCGAGTGGACTCTCTTTCCAAAACGAACCGCCAAAAAAGAACCTGCGGCCCGACGCCAAAAAATGCTCCCGTTGCGGGCGCAACCACCCCATGCTCCGCTGGATTCAAGGTGCCTGACTGGGTGCCTGTGCTGAAAGCCTCTTGACCGCACGCACGTCTTCTTTCCGATCCCATAAAGTCCGGGTCCGCGCAGTTGGCGCACCCACCAAAGATGTAAAGGCAATCCCCCACCACGATGCTGGCGTGCAGGGATCGTTGCTTTGGAGGTTGGCCTGCAGGCAAACTGGTCGTCACGGAGTTGGTCAAAAACCACAGATTTGGGATGATCGACATGAATACCTTCCCAAAACAATGGAAGTATTTCAGCTCATTCCGGATGCATCGCTCTCTACGTACATCATAATATATGCACATATATAATATCATGTATATTAGTATGTATTTGATATTATTTGATGTATATATCACTCAATCGCTCCCAAACATCAGAGGACTGGTGAGAGTCTTTTTCCAGACCTTACTCCGTCCTCCGTCCTCCCCACGGATCACTTTCCGAATTGCAGAGGACATGTTTAGATCATCCTCTACCCGCACTTCGGGTGCCCATTCGGGAGACCGGAATGGATCCGAAGACCCAGGGAGCGTGTGGGGTTGTCCATTCACCCCCTGGGTCCGCAGACCCAGGGGGGGACCGGCGGACTTCGGCGAACGGCGAACCGCACAGCGTCACAGCGCTTCGCACTGGGCATCCGGGCAACCGCCAAACGGTTTCACCTGGGACCACTGGTTGATGGCGCTCTTGCATTCGCCCTCATCCACCTCGAACCGCGCCCAACGAGCGAAAGAGGCGCTGCACGAAAACGAAAAGGGCTCGGCGGGTGGCGAGGAGGCGGGTCGCAGGCGTCAAGTTGGTGGGCTGAAGATGGTGATGCCTCGGATTCAGAATCTTAAAAGATCAAGGTGCTCAACTACGAGGAAAAAGGTCCAGGTTGATCTGACCAACGATTTCGATTGAGGCAATTCGGCACATCGAACGCTTTGGATGCGACCACTGAGCAGCTTCCCCGGCTATAAGCTGAGCTTGCTTCGGCACTGCCACGCTCAAAAACAGACACATCGTGCCGGAAAACCTCCCACCGCAGCTTCGCTTCACCAAACCTGAAAGTCCCTCACTCGTCTGAAAGTCCATGTGCCTGTGGGTCTTTCAACCAAAAAGACCTGGTGTTTTTCCTGAACATGAACCGAATAGACGACGTGAGTTAGGGAGGTCATAACCGAATAGACGGGTGTTGAAACCGGGGGACCCCGAGACGCGTTTGGTCTCCGTTTCCGAAAAGAACGGACGGTCCAAACGCGGAGATCGCCTCCATCTCTGCTTCGGCACCTGCGAGCTGCGTCGGCACTGGGATCGCCACGTTTGGAGCTTCGTTTCGAGCGTTTCGAGCCAAGTCCTGGAAGACGGCACGAACGAAAGGGACCACCCCAGGAGGTGCTTCGGAGCGTCCAGTGTCTCACAATGGCGCCTTGGAGGTGATCCGGGGTGCAGTCCTGGTATATAGTTCTTCTTACTGTAAGTAGAACTGTAGAACGAACGATTTGGCCTTGCCACCAAGTGGTCGATGTTCATCCATCCCCCTAGCTGGCGGCGTTTTTGGACCTGCGGACGGCCATCACCAGAGACCCAATGCGAGACCAATCCGACCAATCCGCGACGATAAGATGCCTGGGAGCCGGGGCAGTTTGCTGGGTGTTGCCGTGTTCCCACTTGCTTATGGGCTAGCAGCTAGCTTCCTCTCCAAGTGCTGTTACCACTTTGCTACTGGAATGTAAACGGCTGATTCACATGAGATGTCGGGCTTTTAAACATCTTCAGACACCTTCATCAAGGGGATCAGTGTCTCACCATTCACCCAACTTGGTTGATTCCACATTGCTATACCTACCTCCCCGCTCTCCCAACCGACAGACCGACCTCTTCCGCCCTCGCCCGACCGCCGTTGGGTCGCTCAGGCCCCCGGACGTTCCATGGCCGACCTCGCGCGCCGCTCGAGCGGTCCGAGCTCGAGCCGTTTCGCCACCGAAACCGAAAGCGTCCCCCTAAGGCCCTAAGGCCCGATCGGTCACTTCGTGCCCTGGGCGTCGTTTTGGGGGGGTGACTCGCGAGCGTGAAGATCGGTCGCAGCAGATCGGTCGCGGTTTGGCCAGGAAGGTCACCGTCACGTGTTTTTGTTGGAAGGAGATCGATCCTTGATCGTCTGTCCATGGTTTTTCTACGAAAATGTATGAACATGTCCACACCAGAATTACCCCAGAGGAGGGTCAACAAACATCTTGCTCAAGTGATGCGAGGCCAGCGGAGATTTGGACGTGAGGGTTTTGAAGGTCCACAATCATTGCCTCCAATAGTTATTTGTTTGGATGGCTGGATCCTGTTTGGTAGTGGGAAACTCCTGTGTTTCTTAAGCTGGTCCCATTCGATGTGTCCACGCAAACCAAAAACCCACGAAATCCGGCGGTGGGTGTGTTTCACACACCACTGCGCGGTAGTTTCAACCTCCAAAAACGCGCCTTGCTTTCCGGTGCCAAGGGCCACAAAAACGGGTGCCCTCATTGGCCAAGGGCGCGCCGTGTGACGAACCCTATGAACCAACGGCCCGGTCCGGCGAAAGAACCGAACGCTTCACGGCGAGACCGGTCGACGAGACCGAGCGAGACCGGGCGACGGATCCGGATCCACTCGTGGCGACGAGCTATCAGTCGTGAGGAAGCCCAGTGGCCCAGTGTGGGTGGGAAGCACAGAAGGAACCAGGAGTCACATGGAGGCCAGGGTGGTTTGCCTCGTCCCATCCAGGGGCCGTGGATGTGACAGGAGCACCCCCAGCTCCTGGAATGTATTGTTGAGGTTGGATGAGGGTTTTGGGGGGTTTGGGTTTCTTCCACCCAAACGCCTTCGTTGTCGTCCGATCCCGTTGGTTGTCCGGTCCCGTAACGGTTCGGAATCGGGTTTCGGGGGAAAAGCAGATGTTTTTCCGGCAAAGACTTGTCATAGAAGTGTCTGGAGTTGTATTTGGAGTAGTGTTTGGAGTAGTATTTGGAGTAGTGTTTGGAGTACCAGAAGTGTTTGGAGTAGTATGTTAATTATCTGTCTGTCATCCCTATTTGTTGGTCCTTTTCCTTCTGAATTTTCTGGAGATCCAGTCCTCAAAATTGGAGATCACATGCTCCCTACCAGTTGCGAGGATTCAGTAGTCCCCTTCCCGCTGAAATGGAGGTCTTGAAAAAGTCCTCTTCGGCCTCTGCGTACGACGATGGACATTCATGTCGGAAAACACACGCAGGGTGGTCCAAAGGGAAACTTGTATAATCTTCTGTATGAACGATGGAACTCGGCCCAAGAGCTCAGCCCCAGCTTTCAATTGAAAGAATTGAAATGAGTCAAACATCATGGTTTTGGTTCTGCAGATTTTAAACCACCGCTTCCTTCTAGAGTGAATCTATCTCCAAAGCACTGATGTGGTCACACAAAACTCGTCTTCTTCAGGGCCTCCAAGGGGTCTCCCAAGGTAAAGAGCGTGACTCTGAGTCATGGTCTTAACTTTGGGCCATTAGGTTCAGCAGAAAGAGCCATGCCCTTACCTTTTTCTTGCGAACGGCATTGGTCACCGGCACAAGGCCTTTAAGCCGCGATCACACCCACACACTCCTCAAAACCTTCGGGAGTGGGTGAATGACCCATCAAACAGAAGGGACATCTCCGCTGGATCCGCCAGGATCCGCCGATTCGAAAACCAAAGCGGGAGGCCTCCTGGAATGAATGTTCATTAGAGTGTGAGAGAGTGGGAAAAATCGAAAAGCTAAGAAAACCTACGCCCCAAGAAGAAACCAATCTTTAGAACTGAAGGCCGGCTCCAGAATGGGAAGGTGGCGGTCGTCCTCATCTTCAGAACCGTGCATGGAACGGCGACGGCTTCCCAAAACACCGCATACAAGTATTAAACGTGATTAAGGTCCAATATAGTTTTCTATTACAGTTATTACAGTAGGTTAGCCGACCGAGACAGACTGACCGAAACAAACAGACCAAACAGACAGGCCATCGCTAGTAGGTTGGAGGCCTAGAGAAAAGAAAAGGAATAAAGTTAGACTCTCGCTTTCCAACTCTTAGTGACTATGGAGCCATTCCCCGTCCCCACTGGAGCCATGTCGTGCGACATGCATGGGGTCACATGCCAGGAGCTAGGTCATTTGGGTCCTCCGTGCAGGGTTGGCTTCATGTGGTCCGAATCGCACGCATCAACGCATCATCGCACAGACACGCGGATGTTTGTGTTGGTTGATCCAGCGCTTTTGAAAATATGATGCCAGTGTCTTCACGTCGCAAAACCGTTGTGACACTCAGCAGCGGAGATGTGCTGCCTGGTGCCAGGGCAGAACTGAAAAGAACCATGTAGACTGCTGTAGACTCTTGAATAATAAACCTCCTATGAAAAGGTTGTTCAATCCAAATGGGGTGGGTGAAATATAATCAAGAGTCTACATTACCTGATGTAACGGGGTAACTTCATGTCTTCGAAAGTTCTATACCCCTTTTTAGGGGCTTGTTCAGCTCACATTCCGTTCCTGTCCGAGTCATTTTAGTCCACCTCTGTACAAACCTAGGATGTTCATCTGAATCTGAATTCGCACGACCGCAAGTTACGTCCCAGGAACGCCCAACTCTCCGGTCCCTGACTGCTCCAAGCTGGGTGTCATCCATTCACAAGTCTTACTTTCCAATGCCAAACGAACGGGCCCGAACCAACCCCTGCCATGGAGGGCCCGAGGGCCCAAGGATTCTTATAGGGGAATGCAATAATGCCAATGTCCTAACCCAACAAAGAGAACCAAGAATTTCCTCACCAACCTCAAACTTCCTAACTCCAGCTCCCTTCCCAACTCCCTTGCACTGACCGCCTGGCCCCCCCTCTTCCTCACCTGGTAAGCGTCCTCAATCCTCCGCACCGCCTGCTGCAGCTCCACACGGCCCGGCGCGGCCAGCTTCGCGGCCGCGAAGCGGTGCTGCAGCAGCGCCAGGCCGAAGAGCGCCGAGCGCACCTGACCGACAGTCCGGTGCGGTTGGCGGAGGAGGCGCGGTTGGCGGGTGGAGGAGGCGTGCGATGGTGGGGTGAACCCATTGGGGTGAACGGGACTTCCCGAAGAAGAAGAAGAAGAAGGGAAAAAACAACAAAAGAAGGCCCTATAGCAGAGGCTCAGACTTGGAAGAGGAGAATTTCCATTACAAAGGAGGTGGCCGTTGAGTGTAGATGTTGTTGATAAGCTTTCCATACTAAACTGGATTGATCTTTGTTTCGGCCACCCACGGGGAGCATGATTTACGTGTCCTGCGATCTGAGTCACCAAGCTTGATGGGATGATACTAAATCAATGATTCCCGCTCGCAAAACGTCCATCTGTTTCAAAAAGGGTCACGGTCACAAAAAGGAGGTCACCGGTGGCCACCTTCAGAGTCCGGAAGGCAGCCAACAGCATGGTATGAATTTTGATATCATGCATTGTAAAATAGAGGGGGCATGCCTCTCCACCCGGCCGCCGTCGTGACATACGTGCTTGGCACAGAGAACGGCCGCACGGCCGAATGCTGTGTCTCCGAGCCAACGCGTCGAAGCCAAAAGGAATAGAGATTCCTGTCCCACCATGAATGAACAATAGGCTGTTCTTGAACAACCAGCTGTTGAACACGAAGTGATAGGTTTTACCATGCACCAGGTCAAGCATGTGTTTAATATGGTTTTGGAAGGCTAGGGAATAAAACGAATAACTTAATAAGTCAAACAAACAAAAAACTGCCTGCTTCATGGTCTCCTTCACCAGGTGTGAGTCGCATCCTTGGTCCTCTCAGATTCTGAAAACGTGGTAACGCAAACGGGCGAACCTGGGCGTACCTGGTTGTACTGGTTGTCTGTTGTTCACATAATTTGCTTCACAGGGACTCTGCCATGTATCGAATTCCTTAGACAGACCCATTTTGGTGGGAGCATCTTGCCTCACAGTGGCCTCTTGCCATATGCGGCCCATCCATGCGTCCCATCCGCGTCGGCCGAGGGGGAACACGCCATCCACCGTGCGATCGATGCGGTTTTGGTACACGGACCGACCTTCCATGGAGCTTCGGACCCTCAAAACGACAGCGAGGTGGACAGAGGCACCAAAGGGCCCTTGGTCCACGTCCAATCCTTGCACCAGAAACAGGTGGGTCGTTGATCAACTTCTGGGCCCTTTGGCCGACGGCTGGGCCGGCCGATCCGGGCCGACCGCCGCCCTGTCCAAACAGGTAGAGCTCCGACCGCCATGAGATCCCCCAAAACGCCCGGCTGTTCCCACAGGTGGTGTGGGTCCGTCCGTCTGACGCCACGTGAGACCGGACATCGCTCCTTCGTCTCACGGGTCGACACGGGAACCGTGGGGCGTGGGTGGACCGTTCGTTCGTTTGGATCGGAGACGAGCGCAGACGGTCGCGTCGGTCCTTCACAAAGAGTTTCAGTGCTTCGGTGTCCTGGAGGGTCGAACTCAGTTCCCCCATCAACAGCGTGGCCTGCGAGGCGGTCGCGGACCGCGGCGACCGGGTCTGCGCCGAGGGACGGCAGGCAGGAAGTGGGGAAGCTGGGAAGCGCCTGGATCTCGAGCAAAAAAGGTTTTGGGGGGAGACCTCCATTCAAGGACCTGGGTCCAGCTGTAGCGGAACCACTGGGACTGGGAGAACCTCCACCGCCTCGCGCCAACCACTTCCACCAGTCCACCTCGCGCCACGTGCGTTTCAGTAGGCGATGGCTGCGAGTCATCCGGTGCATACCTAGCACGAGAGAGAGCACCGAAGCACCGTAGAACTCGTCGAGGGCACGAGAGGACGCGCTATCAGTCATGTAGACCCCCAATTCGGATGGTAGAACCATGTAAAACCTCCTCATGCGGGGGGGGGTGATGCGCAAGATAAGATCAACAAACCTCACTTACCAATCAGTTATATACCAAGTATCTTAGTTTCCAATGAGATCGGTTGGTAACTAAACCAGTGATTTCTTGGATCCCAGATCCAACCGAGTCGAACACCTGCAAGACCGGACTTGAGGATTTTCTCCGAGCCATTGGAGACCCGGATGATGGTGGCGTTTGACCATTCCCCCCATCCCTCTCAATTCCTGATGATCTGCTTGCCATTGCAGCTGTCTCTCTAGATCTGCATGGTCACAGTACACACCAGTACACCAGGGTGAACTATTATGACATCGAATGTAAAAATGTGTCCACGTGAAGACAATGTTCCATTTTTGCAAACCGGTGGTTAGCTCAAGGAAGATGCCGCCCTGTTCCCTACATTCTACATGCCCACTGCAAACTGGACCAGGCTGCTCTGGGTGTAACTGGCTGCCAAGCTGGTGAAGCTGGCCTCGCAACCCACATAGTGCTGCATCTCCTGATGGGGGCATCGGCGACCAGGCATCATAAGAGTACATCCCCCACATTCCCCCACCACAAAGAGGTGTCTTCTTCCATTCCATTAGAGAAAAGGACCGAATCAGACTTCGGAGACTAGATTGAATTCACGTGAAGCGTGAGACTGATTGAATCTTGAATCTCTGGAAGTGAATAAAACGGGCTACCCAGTTCTTGGCAATCAGCGAGAAGCTTACCATAACTAGTGACTTCCTTCGAAGGTCCTCAAGTGCGGATGACAGAAGATGCCCCCAACCGGTGGACTCGTTGATTACAATGGGTGTTCAGAGTCCCACCTGTCAGAGTCCCACCAGATCATAACTACACACAAACCATCCAAAAGCCACCCACCAGCATCCAGCATCCGAAACCACGCATTCTCTGCACCACTCTCTGCGCCCTTTTTTTGGCCCCCCGCACGCTCGGCGCCTCGATGGAATGCTGGAAGGACTGGACCTCCAACTCCGCCACATCTAGGTACTTCTCCAACTTCTCACGGAGCTTCCACCAGATCCTCAGGTTTCTTTGGGGTCAGACCGGTCGGACGATGGACACCGACTCTTATATGCGGGACCAAAGTCAGAACTTATGGCAGCCATGGCCGTAGCAGTAGCTGATACAAACAGGGTGGTGCCTTCTTTTCCCAGAAACGAAGTATATAAGTCGTAGGCAACAGGCATGGGTTAAGTTGTTTCTTCAATTTTGCCCGAAACGTCTTGATCTGGGTTTGAAGTCTGAATTTTCGCCTACTACTCCGCCCGAAATCGTTGTGTCAGGCATTGTGTCAGGAGTTTGGGCATGTCAAGTTCTTCACGCCAAGGCCTGAACCTGGAAATCACGGCTTCTCTGACCAGCTTCTGTGTGTCACTTGTGTCTGGAAGCGAAGGCCACGGAACCCATCTGCATTGGACCATCCAAACACTCGGAGAGAAGCTCTCGACGCTTCCAGCTCAACAGGAGACTTGATGCATCAGCAGTGTGGTCAGCGAACACTTGGAGTTGCAAAGTCCAAGAAGTTTGGGGACCAATCTTTCGTTGGGGTGCGACAAAGTCTCAATCTCATCTCTTTGGTATTTACCCCTCAAAGACCCCCAACTGCCCAGACTCCTTCAACCCCTATAGCCTCACGGTTCCGTTGTCCCTTCGCCCGCGACTCTTCGCCCGCCGCGGGGGTGAAGTATCAAAAACGGTTATTTATCGCATCAAAAAATATTCAAGGAGATCAATAGAAACTAATTACTTAATCAAAAGAATAATTCTACCACGAACCCTCTTTGGGCGGGCGGCGCCTCATCCGCGCACACGGATTTGACTCATCTGCGCACACACATTTTGTAAGGGAAGGGCAACATCCTTCTCTAAATTTTACCCCTGCATGGCCCACAAAAGGGTGAGTCAAGTTGAAATGGCAACATCCTTCTCTAAAATTTACCCTCGGGTGGCTCACCAAAGGGTGAGTCAACTTGGAAGGGCAACATCCTTCTCTAAATTTTACCCCTGCATGGCCCACAAAAGGGTGAGTCAAGTTGAAATGGCAACATCCTTCTCTAAATTTTACCCTTGGGTGGCTCACCAAAGGATGAGTCAACTTGGAAGGGCAACATCCTTCTCTAATTTTTACCCCTGCATGGCCCACAAAAGGGTGAGTCAAGTTGGAGTGACCACTTCCTTCTCCAAATTTTACCCTGCCCACAAAAGGGTGAGTCAAGTTGAAATGGCAACATCCTTCTCTAATGTCACAGCGCAAGTACATGCAGCATTTCTGTCACTTTGAAACCTTTTTCAATCCTACAAGTATGGGGCATGTGCGTGATCGGCAACTTTTCCCTTTTGTCTACGTTATCCTAAGCTCCTTCCTCCTGCCTGGCCTCCTGGCTAACAGGCAGTTTCCGCTCAGAGTCGAAGTTCGTGGCAGGAATCTTGTGGCACCGGGGGGGTTTGGGGGGGGTGGGCGTAGCGCCTCCCCCCCATGAGCAGACACGGCTAACGCTTTCAGGTATGCATTACATTGGTCTGAACTAACAGGAGTGATTAACATGTTTGATGGTTCTTTTCTTGTCCGCTTCAATAATTTCCCTCTATATCATACATTTTGTCCATGCTTGAATGCGTTATACTAAGTCGTTTCTTCTTGTCTTCTTCATTCCTTGCCTCCTGGCTGCCTGGCTTCTTTTTCTAGAACAGCAGCAGCTTTAATCTTTAAACGTAAAAGGCAAGTTTGCGCTCAAAGTCAATTGTTCTTGCAATACATTCGAAAAGAATGTGCAGGTTTCGTGGCGCGGGAGGGGGGTTGGGGGGGAGGGTGCGGCGCCTCCCCCAATGAGCACACACGGCTAATGCTTTCAGGTATGCACTACATTGGTCGGAACTAACGGGAATGATTAACATGTTCGATGCTTCTGTTCTTTTCTGTTTACAATAGCTTTATTCTTTCGTCTTCCTTTTTGTCAATGCTTTCATGAGTTAAGTTAAGTCGTGTCTTCCTGTCTTCTTTTCTCCTTGCCTCCTGGCTATTTTTCTAGAACAGCAGCAGTGGCTGTAGCAGCAGCTTGCATCTGTAAAAGGCAAGTTTCTCATTAAAGTCACATTGGCCGGCTATCGGGAGTGATTGGATTGGCAAGCTCGCTCGATAATCTCGTGTTTTCTATTTCGCTCCATTCTTTATCTTCCTTTGCGTCATACTAAGTTCTTGTTTCCTGGCTGCCTGGCGTTCTTTTCTAGAACAACAGCAGCTTCAATGTTCAACAGGCAAAGTCCTTTACCTTCTTTGTTGTCCTTTCCTTACTACTCGTACATTATGCTAAGTTGTTTCCTCTTGCTTTCTTCCTTCCTTGCCTTCTGGCTGCCTGGATTTCCTTTTTAGAACAACAGCAGCATTAATGTTCAACTAACAATGAACTCAAATTTCGCGGCAAGAGATTTGCAAAGTACGTGCGGAGTTCCTGGCGCAGGAGGCATGTCTGATGGTTCTTTTCTTCCCTCCCTCCTTGCTTCCTTCTCGACACATCATCGGAAACTACCCACCCCGCAGCACCTCCCTCCCATGAGCACATACGGCTAATGCTTTCAGGTGTGTACTACATTGGTCTCAACTAACGGGAGTTATTGACATTTTTATGATTATTTTGTTGCTTATTGTCGTTGTCTAATTCTATTCTTCATTTTCCTTGTGGTCCTTCCTTTGTTACGTTGTTTTTTTCCGGCCTTCTTCTGTCCGTGCTTCCTTGCCTCCTGGCTGCCTTGCTTCCATCCTGGCTGCCTTCCTCACTTCCTACCTGGATCCCTTCTTTTCTTCCTTCCCTTCCCTTCGACGAGGGGACCAGGGACCAAGGAGACCAGGGGACCAAGGGGACCAGGGGACCAAGGGGACCAGGACGACCATGTGGACCAGACGGGAAAGGAAAAATAGTTTTTATTGATGAATTGATTAATTTGTTTGATTACGTAATTAATTCTTTGTTGATTCAGTAATTAATTTTTTTGATACACATGCCCGCCACGGCACTTATCCAGGCTCGCGAGCGCGAAGTGCTCCTGCGAGCTCAGCAGATGTTGGGACGCCTCCTTGGCCGCCTGGCTCTCGATCCTGGCGGAGCGGCGGAGTCCACCTGGGTCGGACCGCGCGAACGCCGCGTCGGACCGCCCGCAGTCGGAAGAAACGGGACGACAACGACGAGCGCAGAGGACGGGGCATGTGATGCTGAGGACTTGAAGAGGAGCCTGTCCACGGTGTGGAAAACCACGGTGTCTGGGGCATTGAACAGGTGAAAGAAGCCGTCGTGGTCTTTTCGAGCACCTCCCGGAAGCCCAAGGTGAAGGGGACGCCGGGCGAACAATGGCACCGTTGACAGGAGAACACGGGTGCTTTTGCAGGCACACAATGACAATAGACGTTTGGCAGCGCCTAAGTGGTGACTTCTTTGAGAAGGCCCTAAGTTCCGGGGGCATCAGACTTTTGGCAAGTGTTGCTGATTTAAGGCTGGGGAGCCTCCATCCCCCGTCCCTCCGCAAAATTGGGCCAAAGACTTCCCAAGAATCAGAATACTTGCGAAGACCAACAAGACGTCCGGAGTTGTCCGGGGTCTATATCTCTCTGCTCTCCGGGTCCTGTAGACACCCAAAGCGCTCAGCTGCTTTCGCGCGGTGCGCTGCAAGCGCCGCGCCTAAGTAGTGCTCAGCAGACGATGTGGAGGGGGCGTGGACAGTCCGGGCAGTCTATCACTATTTTCAGATGATTTCATATGTATTCTGAACAAAAATCAAGCAGTGATCATTGATCATAGGTATGTTTTTCATTGTTTTTCGCTTCTCTTCAATGACCCATGATTTGAATGGATGTCATATGTCACACTGGAATTGCTTCATATGTGTTCTCACCAAAAACAAAAACAAAAGCTAGCAGTTCCAGTGTAAGGCTCTGGTCGGCCACCGGGAAAATTCTTATTGGTCCTCGTGTTCTGGGCACCGAACTCCTCCAGAACGCACCCTGATCATGGACCTGCTGGAGACTAGTATCACATGTCGACGTGAAATTCACTGCTCTTCACCGTGCTGAATTTCTGGCTGGGCTCCAATGGCTGTGCTCCTATATTCCATCATCTTTGGGCGTCGGGTTGAACCAAAGGATCCCATAACCAACGAGCCAGCTCGCTCTCGGGATATGGCTGACTCTTTCTTTGAACGACCAGTCTGCCGGAACCGGTTGGGCCCGGGAGGATGTTCGACAGTGAGGATCTTCCGATGCCTCGTGTATATCCCATGACCGGAGATGCAGCATGTGCTTCATCAAATTGCTAGTAAAGGTCTTTCTGAGACATGTGACATAGTGATCATCCTTGATCGAGTGTGATGGGTGTACTGGTTTGCTCACCCTAGCGATGCCTCAGAAACGATGTTTGACTGACTGGTCAACGAGCATGTGTGACGGGTGTTGGGGATCCGTCACAGTGCAAGCCGGTGATGCTCTTGCTCGAATTCTTGGGGCTCGGCCTAACCAAGACAAAGAGTACTGTAAGCAAATCCAGACTTCGTGGTGCAAACCCGAGAATAGAATGAAGATGATGGAAGCAACAACGGATTGTCCAAGCCTTGGGACATGTGTCCAAGCCTTTGTGGTGTGATTTGGCAAGGAAATTGGTTGGCAAGGATATTTTAAGAAACTCAGCGTAGTATCTTGCACATTGCATGTCTGTGTGGACATGTGTGGACATGTTGCTTGTGAAGGATAAGTTGTTCCTCCTGAACGCCTGGAGATACGGAGAAGTCTTGTTGTTCGATTTCAAGTGCTGAAGCTCCAACCCACGATCCTCTTTGGCAGAATCAACCGGCAGCAAGTTCAAAAAGCGCTTGAAAACGCGGCTGGAGCGATGACAATCTTGCAGGGATGACCACCTCATCATAGAGTTGTTTCCTGGATCACTGGATCACCAAACCGCTAAGCCTTTCGAGCCATCGGGACCCAACCGCTCGGCTCCCTCGGCTCCCCAAACCTCGCCGACACGTCGAACACGTCGATGTCGGCACGAGCGCAGCGGTTCTTCCCCCCCCGCCTGGCTGCTCGTCTGCCGGCTCAGCAGCTGCTCCTTGCTGGCACCCCGCCGGCCAGCACGCTGCAGCGTCTGTTGGAGGGAATCTAAGCGTCCCAAGAAGGCTGCTGCTGTCGAGGCATTCGCCTGTAGGCAGAGAAGGTGCCTTTCAAGGCGGCACCAGCTTCTAAGCAGGAAGAAGGACCTGACTCAGAAGGAAGACTATATAAAACCCAGCTGCAAAACCCAACGATTTCGCTTGGGTCTGCCTTCGAAAGACCGATCCACTTGCACGGAGATGGAGTCAGCTCTGGGATCGGAGTAGTCTCCACAGTGATCCAGAAATGAGTCTTTGACCGTCAACCAGCTGGAGCAATGTCTCCATCCATTCTCCTTACAAATTCAGAAATTGGTGTCTTGGCCAAAAGAAATGAAAGGGGCATCGGTCTTTGGCTTCTGAAGCCATGTTGTGCGAGGCACCAGTTGGACCGGCGTCAAGAGAAATCTGCGCGTTCCAAAACACACCCCAAAAGACAAGCCCTAAGACCAAGAAATGACCGAGATGACCAGCCTCCCACTCCACCCCACTCCCGTTCCGCCTCAGGCGCGTCCAGGAACCGCTGCAGCGCCTCCTGCGCCGTGGCCCGCTGCAGCGCGTCGCCCGCCGCGGCGCCTTCGCCCAGGCGCCGCAGCTCGGCGGCGAAGGCGCCGAGCTCAGCCGCGCTGAGGGCGCCGCGCTGGGCGAGGCCGTCGTCCGGCCGCAGGAGGTCGTAGATGTGCGCCTGGGGGTTTAGGCTGTTCCGAGGTTTGGGGCGAGGTGGTCCACCCCGTGGATTTGGGTGGTTTTGGGGGTTTTCCAATTCGGCACCAGGTGGCCAAATAGGCTGAGCTGATGGTGTGCATGTAGTCGAGCTTCTCCTCAGCTGCCAGTTGGACTTGACTGGAGAAATCGTGCGGAAGGGCAGGAGCGGACGAATCCGGTTCACTGAAACTAGTCCGAACTAAGTCTTCATTATCTCAGAGACACAAACCTCTTTTCAGATGTGATGTTGAGATCCTGGCACCCTGTCTCCCTGTTCGCCCTGTTCACTCGTCCTCTGCCCCTTCGTCCTCTGCCCCCCGCACCGTCTGGAACTCCAAGAGGCGCCCAGCCAGCCGGTCTCCGTGCGCGCGGCATCGACGGACCACTGGACCAACTTCTGGAGATTGTTGTTGGTCTTCTTGGTGGCCAATTCCAAGTTCCTGTGGGTCACCCAAAATGATTTAACTCACAAACGGCTGTTTAACTATGGTTTAACTATGAGTTTAAGTTTCAACCCAAAATGGTTTAACTATGTTTAACTCACAAACGGCTGTCGAAGAAATGTCGAAGATATTGAGCATACCACAGTCAGCTTGATGCGTCCTTGTTCCCTTTGGTCCCTCCAACACCTCGCCAAAACAATGACATTCACCACCCAATGCTCCCACCATGGGAGGAACCATGAGCTTAATCTAGGATCAAACAGGAAGACGTCAAACTCGACCATCTGGCGGACCAGGACGTGTCTTTTTTTCGACCATCTGGACCACCTCTACCATCCCATGAAGCCCCCGGAACCACCGAGACGCCGGATGATGGATCGATCGCCCCGGATCACGGCGTCGCGCACGCAGTGGATATCGCAGAAGGCCCGGGCGAAGCCCACCTGCGGATGGCCGGGCACGGCGGAGTGAGGTGCGGCCAGATCTCAAAGCCGTTGGTCACATGCGTAAGGGTGGCCCCATGTGACCAATTGGGGTTTTCTCCTGGCGACCCAAAACGATGACCCCATCACTTCCACTGTCGCCGAGAAAACCCCAAGAATCGCCTGCAGTGGGTTGCAAGCCGCATAGCCTTCCTGGACTCGGTGCAGGGGACAGATGAATCATGATGAAGTAATTCACGTAACTCTGGGACGGATGTGCAGCAGCTGCTGCCCCGAAGAAGAAGAAGGAGGAGGAGGACGACGACGACAACGACGAACACTACAACACAACAACAAGCGTGAAGAGGTCGCTTGCTTTCCAGATCTCCCAACATCTTCGTACGGTCCTGGAGATGTACCCCCAGGCTTCGTACGGTCCTCAAAGCCCTACCTTCACCACCCACACACAGAGCAGTGTGTTTCTTCTGCTCGTTTTTTCATTGTTCCACCTGAGGAGTCTCCCTAGACATCAATAGACCCTCAGACCCGGTCACACTCCGGCGTATACTGCAAGCGTTAAGGCACCTTGGATGATCTAAAAAGTGATCGAACAGTCCAGACAGCGAGTGGTTTGGGAACTCCGCAAGCTCCCAGACATACTCTCCCTGGAATCATCATGAAAGTGGATGGCATGGCCCCTTCAATGACCATTTTCCGAATACCAAACAGGTGGTTGTTCACTCCCTGGTATTTGAGTAGATGGCATGATCCCGAAGAAACGGTCTGACCATGAAATCCGAAGATGCTGGAGAACCTCCACGCGCGCAACCAAGATAATTCCAGGGATGTGTAACAAAACAAAACCAGGCTCCCCAAGCATGTATCCTAGGCTCCCCATCTCGTTTGGTGCAGGAGTTCTTACATCAAGAGCTGTCAGTAGTACTGGTCAACAATATCTTGATCTACTCTCTAATGGTCATGGGCACCGCCAAAGAGGACACACATGAATATATATAAAAGCATCATCAGACTCACCGACAGGAGGGAAACGAACACCCGAACAAACCAAAGAAAAACAGGCTTGCTCGTACTCGACCTGAAAAAGGCACCAGATAAATCAATACCATCCACCGAAACATGAAAACGAAGACACCGAGACAACAAGATAAGACACGCAGTTCATGACAGGGGGGTCCTCCTGGATCTCCATCTCCTTCTTCGCGAAGGCGAATTCGCTGGTCGGCCCCGAGAACTTCTTGATGGCACCCACCAGCTCGGCGGCGCCGTCGCAGATCCTGAACTCAACGAGCACGAGCCGAACGGCAGCGAACGCGTTCGCGAACGGTGCGAACGCGGGCGAACGAGCTCAACGGTGCAGCGCGCTCGCACTCTCGCACTTGCACGAGCTCAACCAAGGGGTCGGCCGGATGCGGAGGTGGAGAACCTGTGGCCACGTGTCCTGCAATGGCTCAAGAAGAATCCCAAAGATGCTGTTTGGAGCTCCACACATTGTGTGAAGATTCTCGGTCACCATCGCCAATTAAGTAAATAATACTATATATATATATTATATATTATATATATTTTATTATATATACCCTAGAAGTCCAAAGACTATATTTTGACCGGCTGGAGTAAAGGAAGCTTCCTTTCAGTTCCCTTAAAGACCATTCTTTTTATAGTCTTTGAGTCCCAGGGTATATATATTATATAATATAATATATATAACTTAACTATATATAGATGTGGTGTGGAACCCCCCTATGTAGTAACTCACAGATGGGTGCTTGGCTTTCTTTCAGCAAATCCCTTTCCCTTCCCTTCGCTACCAAAGGAGATCGCCAAAAACCACGTGCAACCCGTACATGAATATCTGCCAAAAGATGTCTGGGTCCTCACTTCCTCCGCACGCGGCCCCATCCGTCCACAAAGACCCACCAGTCGTTTGAAACGAAGCCCCGAAAAATGAGCTGAAGAGGCAGAAGACCCAACAAGCGTTTTTATCTGAACGACGAACTGTGTGCTGGAGTCTATTCCGTTCCACAAAAGACATATAGAATCTTGCGTCCATAAAAACCACCAAGGGGTCATAGCAAGAACCAAAACCTAACTGTTCAAGAAGCAACTTGACTTGTGCTGTTCCTTCTTGGGGTGGGCGTGCATGTCAACATGATTTGATCATTGACCTAGAAAGCAGATTCTGCCTTGTTGCGGCTCGTTTTTGCAGGTCCATTCACCCTCTCAAACCTGGTCAAACCACTACACTCTGACCAAGAGCTTCAACATCCAGAAACACCCCCAAGTCTCTTGTAGAGAAGAGGCTTCCGCCTTCGCTTCCCCATCTGCAGCTTAGACTCTTGCTGGGATTCATCTCCTGGCGGAGAAGCACCGTAAATGGATGGTGCCAGGTGCTAAAGAAGTGGTTTGAAGGTGGGGGGGAAAGAAATAAAACATCAACGCCAATCACATGGAGGTGGTTTCACACAACTGAAAAATGGATGGTGCCATATGCCACTGCAGAGGCCCCCGAGGCCCGTTCGCCCAACAGAAGATCTTGAGCCTCTGATCGCGTGTTAAACGTCAAAACAAAGTGACCCCCGATGCTCCGTTCTTCAGGTTGTCATGTGGCCCGTTTCCCCGAAAGCCCGGACCCACACACAACTCTTAGACCCACCAGGGAGGGAGAAAACCCTACGATGCTATGAATCTACGAAAACTGCGATAAAGCCTAAAGAAGGACTTTAAAAGACATCTAAAGACTAAAATCTAAAAGAAAACTTCCGTACCACTATATATAGATCCCTCCACCACCGGGCTCGGTCAAAAACCGCATCCAGGTCGCGGTGCCCACGCCCAGAGGTGCCTCGGAGGGGTAGCGAACGACGAGCTTCCAAGCTGAACGGCTGAGATTCGAGCGGTTCAGTGACCTGACAAAGTGACCACAATTTGGGGTACCTATGGACCTATGGGATAGTCCAAAGTGTTCTTCAACCTCCGTTGGAATGCACCTGTTCTGTTTTCTTTATTTGGGGGGGGGGCAGCACTTTCTAAGCCATTGCTCGAGCCAGTAGTAGCCAGCATTCTCACCCGTGAAAAGGATTCTCAACGACAGTTCCAACAAGTATGGAAGACCCTATGGAAAATGGTTTGGGCAAGGGGGTCCAGCTTCAAATCGATCAAGTGAACCTGATCCCCTCCCCACATGTCTCTACCTGATATGGGACAAAATCCCAGAAAAACATGTTAAAAGAAAAGACGGCTCCCAAAGAAGCGGCTGAGAAGAGGTGAAGAGAAGCGGCTTCGATCCATCAGCCCAATTCTCCGCCCATCCGCTCGCCCAGGGTGCAATTGTGACATCCGGAATGGCTTTGCAAATGAGGCCAATGCCCTCTTCGACCATGTCTTGAATGAACCTCAGCCGCGAACGGCATGGGCATGTGCATGTGGGCATGTGTCCTTGTTCTCGTGCAAAACGGACAGGTGAGCCTCACCGCGATTCTTCCAGCCCATGTGCTTCTTATCGGCCTCCTTCCACATCAGGATGTGTCAGACGTGGAGACGTCATCAGTTCAGCTTCATAACATCTACAGCTTCAATGCATTCAAGAAATTAAAATGTAGTTTTCCTCTTTTATAGGGATGCTAGGACCAGTCCAGCGTCCACTTGTGACCTCACGAGCCCCAAACCGAGCATAGCCCACAGCTCCGTTTTAAGACCACCCGGCCACCCAGCTGGGGCAACGCGGTTTCTGCGTGATAGAGTTGCTTCGGACCACCGGGCAGCCAGGTCTGACAAACGCCGATCCGCGAGAATGTCCGTCGCCAAGACACCCCGACATCGCGCTATGATAGCCACCTGTCGAAGGGAGCGCATCAAAACCGATCCAGGCATCACAGGCGAATGGCGATGCCTACGCGCCCAAGTAGAACCGACCGTGGGCGGGTTCTTTGGTGAAAGTATCCAGTGTTGGTTTTGTATTGCAGTTATATAAGTAATTATATATATATATATAGATATGGTATTTGTTTGTTGCATGATGCGGTTTTCTGTGTCTCAAATATTGAAAGGAACCTCAAGTTCCTGTTGGACTGAGTGATTGGTTGGGAGCTTTGTTGGTATTGGTTGAGGCTGGGGCGGGGGAAGGTTCGTCAGTCCAACATCTGACACACCGCATGAAGACCTGTTCTTGATCATGTGATTTTGTATGGACTCGCGGCCTTGTTGTATGAAACTAAAACCCCTGTATCAGCTCAAACAGCCAGAAGCTCATGAGCCCCCCTGTACCCTGGCGTCAAAGTCTGCTGATGACTGCCAGCTTGTAAACTCAGCCCATGTATGTTTGTAGTCCTTTAGATCTTTTAGGACATAATAGCGATGGCCTCCTGATGAAAAGAACGAAGGCCTCTCATCCACAGAAGAGGATTCCAAAACTATTGCTTGTTGTATTACCCTAGTGTAGACTCTTGATTGCTAAAACCCTCTGATTTGGGGAGATAGATTCTAGATGACTCGAACGGCCACCTCTAACTGACCCAGTGACTTAAACAACAACTTGTTCGATGCCAAAAGCATCACGGTCGCCGAATTGAACCGCTACCGTCCGTCCGTCGCCGCCAAATCGAGCGTCGCCTTCAGCGGAGATCAAATCACGCTCGATGTCGCCCTGCATGCAATCGTTCCAATCGCCTCACCGTGAGTCCAAGTACCGAGCGGGAATGAGATGTCTCCTGCGTCATTCCCCACATCTCCCGAAATGAGTTTTGGCTTCTTCCACCGCCCTCCACCATCGGATCCTCCTCGTTCGGAATCGACCGTCGGACCGGGTTGAAACCACGGAAGGGAAAAACCACGGGCGGAACGCGGAACGAGCGCCGAGGCGCTGTACATCATGTTCTCAGGTGCCGTGGACCCATCGCCTGTCTCCGACGCTTGGCTTCGTGACGGGAGGTACTGGGGGGAAGTGAGGTGCTGGGGGGAGTGAGATGTCAGCAAAACAACAGCAAAACACCCACCGCTTTGGTTCAAAGCAATATCGGATGAACCCGAGGCGGGAGTCCGGAATCGCACCACAGAGGGACTGGTCCAGCATGTTTCATCTTGGGGAAGAAACATGGAGGCTATAAACATCGTCATGCAGTGGCGGTGGATTCACAAGAAGCCGATTAACCCCCCAAAACCGGTCTTTCGGATTCAAATCCAATCAACCGCTGGTTGTCCAAATCCTCCGCAAGCCTTTGACCATCCAAGTGCCAAATTGAGACCCACATACACCCAAATTCTGCAGATCTCGAGCTTGGACCCCAAAGACTTCGCAAAAGTCTAAACTCAGACTCACCAAAGCCCTCCCCCCCCCTGAAATGTAGAGGCCTACTTGTACAGGTTCCACTCCAGTGGCCTATCTAGTGTGTCCATGCTTGACTGCCTCAAGGCTCAAGAAGACTAGAGGATAAGACTCTGCGCATAAAAGACACTAGCGGTCTGCACCTCAACCGTGTACGCCCTAGTCACTCTTTCAGTGGTAGCGGAGCAGTGATCCTGGAAGACCCAGGTGAGCTCCTTTCCTAGGCATAGACTTGCTTTTAGGCAACCGGCCATGGATTGGATTGACGACTGGGAAGAGCCTGATGCGGATGTGGCTTATGAGCCAGCAGCCTATGTGAATAGGCATGTGAGAAGAGAACCAGCAGCTATAGCAATGACAACACAGGTCACTACAAAGGTGCCCCCATCTTATGATGGAAAGACTTCATGGTTTTCCTATGAGGATGCCATAGATGATTGGTGCGATATCACCGAGCTGGAAGACGAGAAGAGAGGACCAGCATTGAGAAACCGATTAGAAGGAGAAGCAGCTGTATACAAGCGAGTATTAGACAGAGATGCATTGAAGGCGAATGATCCACCAGGAGCAGGAGTAGAATACTTTAAACGAGTACTACGTCCATATTTTGTGAAAGGATCCACCAATGTATTCCTGTATAGGTTTATGCAATTCGTGCGCTTCAATCGCGGATCAGCCGACATGATGAAGTGGATGACAAGATTTCAGATTTTACTCCAAAGGCTTATGAGCAGTTGGATGGACATGTTGGACCCTGTAACACAAGTACATTCTCAGGTACAAGCACAGATGCAAGCTGATGCAGCGATGACTGGAGTAGCTCCAACAGCAGAGAGAATTCAAGAAATTATGCAGAATGTCAATGGCAATATGAGAATTCTTCATCAGAACGATTTTCCTTTAGGAGAGAATCTCATTGCCTTACTCATGCTGTCACTTGCGGATTTGTCTCAGGACCAGAGGAACACTTTGACCTCTTTGATGACACATCGTGGTAGAGTCCTGCAGCAATACACTACAACAGAGTTGAGGACAGTTTTCATTGAGATGTTCTGCACAACAAAGACGTCAGTAGACAATCCTCTGATGCAGCCAACAGGTGCTGGAGGTAGAAGATCATTTCTCGTACTAGACGAAGGAGAACTCGATGGTACATATGGCTATTGGGCCGAAGATGAAGAAGATGGAACAGAAGGATTCCTTGATGCCCTGGACGATGTCTTTTGGGTATATGATGAAAAGAATTTCTCTTGGTTCCAGAGGAGATTCCAAGGAAGAAGAGCCAGAAAAGGCAAAGGAAAAGGAAGAAGAAAAGGAAAAGGCAAAGGAAGATCAGGCCGCAGATTCTTCAGACCTCGTGGAAAAGGAAAAGGAAAGAGACGAGGTAAAGGCCATTTTGCTGATGAGCAATCGACAACATATCCAGATGAGTATTTTGAAGAGAATCCTTATGAGGACACTTGGGAGTCAAATCAAGTAGCATATGATGTTATTCTTGCCGAAGATATGAATGACTATCTTCAAGGAGAATATGAAGATGCCAATGACTTTTGGCAACAGCTTGAAGAAGCATGGTTTTCCCACAAGGGAAAAGGAAAAGGCAAGAGAAAAGGCAAGAAAGGAAAAGGAAAAGATAAAGGAGATGGCAAACAAGATGCAAACTATGCAAATCAACAACAGCCACGTTCTTTACCTGCACCTTCAAGAACTTCACAAGCATCAGGAAGCAACCAAGGTTTCTTTGCACATTGTGTGACAACAGCAGCTGAAGTCCATGACAGTGAGGTGGACTTGCTGTCAGGCATGATGACTTCATGTCAAGATGAAGCTGACTGTAATGTCAACAATGGTGAGACGATCTTCGATGACATGAGTGCCCTTGTGAGGTACTCTTTGTCAAAGGAGATGCTCACAGATGCTTCTGATGGCTTTGCGCTTATGAGCGCTGAGGAAGAAGTGAAAGAGATGCAGGCTATTTCATTTTTGACTGAGAATCGCTTCCCGCCAACTATTGCAATCCTGGACATTGGATGCACTAGAGCTATGGGATCAAGGCGTGCAGTCGATTATTTTTGTAACTATGTCGACAATCATCCAGACTGTGGACTATGGTACTCTTTTGAGTCTACCAAGAGCAAGTTTTACTTTGCCAATTCTCAGAAGGCTTCTTGCTCTCAGAAACTGGTGATTTACATGTATGATCGTGCATGGACGATCCACCATACAGAGTTCGACATAGTTGAAGAAGGAGAAGTCCCTTTGCTTATGAGCTTGCCACAGATGAGGAACTTAGGCTTTGAACTCAGGCTGACACCTCAACATGCTTATCTGACATCGGTGCCTCTTGGTATCAAGTTTTTGGAGTTGAAGGTTGCAGCCAGTACTCATCTTGTTTTGGACTTCCAAGATATTGCATGGTATTTGTCTGACGTGCGTTTGCAGGCTCGGTGCGAGAAGAGCTTTTACTCTCACTTCACTCACTATGAATATATGGCCATATTTCGGTTGATCACAATAGTGATGAAGATGAAGCTGAGCATGCATATCCTGTGGTTGACTACTGGGAAGTAGATCTTCACAAGAGAGAACTGACACGTCACCACAAGGATTACAGGAAGATTCTTTTCCCAGCAACTAAGTCCTGTCCTGTAGACACTGACTTGCTGGAAGACTTGCGACTGACAATCATCAAGAAGAAAGAAGGAGGAGAAGAGATCAAGAAGATAGATGATTGGCGCAAGGCAAAATGGAAGGACCTACAAATTGGCTATGAATGGCGTGGTAGAACAATTTTTAAGTTCAAGCCAGATGCCAAAATTCCAGATCTAAAGATCAGGAAGGCTGGCATTGAGCACCGTGGCATTGGTGATCCCGATGCAGTGGTGCGCTCCTCCTCAGAGAAGGTTCCCATTGCAAGGGACAGGGAACCAGGCTTCTCTTCAGAGAAGGAAGGTGCACCATCCAGTGCCGCGGAAAAGCCCGTGCCGCCGAAGTTTCGGTATACTTCAAAGGGTTTTGATCCATTTTGGAAAGGACACAAGTCGAAACCATCTGAGCCTCCACTGGATTTAAAAGGTGATGATCCTGAGGGTTATACTCCTTCAGAACCACCTGAGAGGCCAGAAGGTGAACTTGTAGAAATTCCTAAAGCATCAAAAGGACCATCAAGTGATAAACATGAACCACTTGAACCAGGTGATGGCGCTCTTGAGCCTAGGCGGATTTCAATCCCATTACCTGGTAGTGAAGTTGTTGCAATGACACCGGCATATAGGAAGATGTTACAGAGACTGGAGGACAAGGTAGAGCTTTATAAGCTTCATGTGAAGCACTACCATATGAGTCCTACTCAGTTTCGTAGACGTGTTTCTATGTTGAAGCTTCCTGACTCTGTTTTAGATAAGTATGAATCAGTTGTCAGGAACTGCCGTGTTTGTAACACTTCAGTGGCACCTCCGCCACGAGCCAGAGTCTCCGGTATTAGAGCTTCATGTTTTGGTGATGTTGTTTTTGCTGATCATTGTGAGGTTGAACTTCACAAGAACAAGTATATCATTCTACTTGTTCTTGATGGTGCCACAAATCTTCTCTGGGCTACGGCACAGAAAGACCTCATAGATCAAACAACCATCCAAGCATTGAGACAATGGTCTGATGAGAACAACTGTGTTCCGAAGGCCATCGTAGGAGACGAAGCCTTTTTCACAGATGCTTTTGTTGAATACTACAGGTTCCATGGTATACAACAATGTCCTTGTGGACCAAGAACTCCTTGGCCGAACCGAGCAGAGACAGCTGTACGTTTGTTCAAACGTATGTGGCATGTTATGAAAGTAGATCTGGATGACCCACGCTTTCGTGGTGTTACGGTCAGAGAAGTGGTCAAGAAAGTAGTGTGGGCAAGAAATTGTCAGTTGACTATCAGTGGATATTCACCAATAGAGATAGCAACTGGAAGACGTCCACCAGATCTTTTTGACCTTGAGACCGCAAGTCCTGAGCAATTGTCAGCTGATGCAGCAGCGCAAGATCGTACAAATCTGGAACTACAACGTGTAGCTTTGAGAGCTCATCAAGAAGCGCGACAAGCTCAGGACCTTCGAGCAGATCTTGCAAGAAGGACTATGCCAAGCGACGGTCCATATTTTCAACGAGAGAAGGTTTTTGTTTGGACTCAGGATTCATCAAAGTTTGAGGATAAAGGACGTTGGGTTCGTGCCACAGTACTTGGACAAGAAGGAGCTATGGTCCAAGCCAACACTGGTAAGGCAGTGGTACGTGTGAATCAGTCGAAGGTTAGACGTGATCACGATGAGTGGCATGATGTTTCCATACCGGCATTAGACGATGAGAATCCGGAGAACTTACGTGAAGATCACGAACTGTATGTTGATGCCGAATTTGGAGAACAGTCCTTTTTCTTTTGTAATGATGATCATCCTGATGTTGTGGAGTTACTTCATGGAAACAGTGGATTATCTTGGTTCCTTTCAAAGAATGGTGTTAGAGTTGCATCTCCTATGGACTTCAAGGCAGGATACAACTTTTCCACTCTGAAGGGTCAAGATGGTATTT